TTTAACATCCATGGTTATAAATGAAGAAATTCAATTACACAGAGGAGGAGTGAAAGGTTGTGGAACTGGGGTATAATGGAGAGGGGGGTGTTATTAGATAACCACACCGGAAGAGGAATCGTGGCAAAAGAAGCCCTTGACAGTTCTCTCCCATTGCCTGGACAGCCGTGCCAACATGCAAAAGCAACGTTGCAATTGTCTTCCTCTTCAAGGTCTGCTTTTAAATCAATGGATGTAACACTGAGACACGTTGTTGTTTTTTTGTTTTGTTTTGTTTTTTTTTGCTTCAGGGCTGTTTTTACATTATAGAAAAAGTTATTCTGAGATAGCAGCCCCTACGTAAACACACAAGGAATCCTGGGGAGTTTTAACCCCAATTATGTAAAGTAGCCTTCCTGACTCCTGGGTCATTCAAAGCCTTTACAGAAGCAAGGGAAAGAAGGCTTCGCTTCCGCTCTTCTAAATGCTTAGGAACTGAATGAAAGGAGAGTCAAGAAGAACATCACTAATCTTGGCAGGTTTAATGGACTCCTGAAACCCTGCCACATCAGTACAATGTGTTAGCAAGCCAGAAGGAGTTGTTGCAAGGGATATCCAAGATAATTTCCTCGGTCAATATCCAGAAAGATGGCAGCCACAGAAAACAAGCAAACTCTGATTCCATACACCTGCAAGCTCCAAAGGCCAGCAGTACCCATTCAGGGGGAGGCTAAGGACACCATCAGAGGGAGAGAATTAGGCCCAGCTCCATTGGGCCCAACCAGAGGAAGAAGAAGAGGCCTCCCTCCGGTCCATCTGCCACGGTCCAGGCCTCGGACGGAGAGAAGAACTGCTGGACCTGAGCCCCTGCCATTCCCTTTTAAGACTGTAAGCCTGAGGGCAGGGAACTGTCTAATGAAGCATTTATAAGCCGTTCCAAAGGTTGGTGTGTGCCACTCCCAGCATCCTTCATCACTGGATACTCTAACTAAGGCTGCTGGGAGTTACAGTCCAGCCGCACCAGGGAGGCTTGGGACTCCCATCCATGTGTTAGAGGACATTAACACCAACAATTTCCTGCAAATCAACCTATTTCCCTTGTTCTTCAAGAATCATAGAATCATAGAGTTGGAAGATACCCCAAGGGCCATCTAGTCCAACCCTATTCTGCCATGCAGGAACTCCCAATCAAAGCATCCCCGACAGATGGCCATCCAGCCTCTGCTTAAAGATCTCCAAGGAAAGAGACTCCACCACACTCTGAGGGAGTGTGTTCCACTGTCGAACTCCTTTCAAAAGACTTCAGGCAGCTTAAAACCCTTCAACACAGATAAAGAAACCAATTCAGTGATGCCAACATATACCCTACAAAGCAAACATACCGCTTCATACAGCACTATGCAGTGTCTAAGCAGTTTACAACTGTAAGCTGATTACCCCCCAACAGCTGGGTACTCATTTTAGGGACCTCGGAAGGATGCAAGCCTGAGTCGAGCCTGAGCCCTGGCTAGTACTGAACTCGCAACCTTGTCGTTTGTGAGTGAGTGGCTGCAGTAGAGGCATTGAACCACTGTGCCACCAGGGCTCCTACACTAATCTTTCTGTACCTGTCCTGCAGACCATCATCCACAAGCTACACTGAGCCAACTTTGGTGTGAAATTGAATTGTAAAGAGTTGGCAAGTCCAGATTTCCTCCTCGCACAGGCAGCCACACAGATAAGATGTAATATGCTTCAGCTCCTTATAGCAAGGGATGGGGTGGGGAGGAAGAGAATGACACCCATGCCAACCGTTTATGCTCCATTACACACCAATGATCACTAAGGTGTGGCACACCTCACTCACCTCATCATGCAAATGCTCCTGCAGCAGTATTGTGCATGACAACTATATGGTTACTTATTAATGGAACCATAGAATCATAGAGTTGGAAGAGACCCCAAGGGCCATCCAGTCCAACCCCATTCTGCCATGCAGGAACTCAAAATCAAACCATCCCTGACAGACAGCCATCCAGCCTCCAAAGAAGGAGACTCCACCGCAATCTCCAAGGGAGTGTGTTCCAGTGTCGAACAGCTCTCACTGTCAGGAAGTTCCTCCTAATGTTGAGCTGCAATCTCTTTTCTTGC